CGTACAAATGATTTGCGCACGTGTGAGACGCGTCAACGGGTGAAACCCGCTCCAAATGCGGCTGCGCCGCTGGCCAGCTTACCAGTACCAACTGGGTGCTGGTAGTCCATGAGTTTGGACTTTGTGTTTAGCCTGCCGAACGAGTCGGCGGGCAACACGGGTGTCGTGGTATTCGTCAACCAGTTGAGCAAGATGGTCCATTTGGCGGCGGTGCCAGACACCATCGACGGAGTCGGTACAGCAACGCTGTTCGTGGATCGTGTTTTTCGTCAACACGGACTCCCAGAGTCGATTGTCTCTGATAGAGACCCCGTTTCACGGGAAAATTTTGGTTGACTATTTTCAAGGTGCTAGGCACCAAGTTGGATATGTCGACAGCGGATCATCCGCAGACCGATGGTCGTACCGAAAGGGTGAATCGCGTCATCGAAGACGTTCTTCGCAACATCTGCGCTGAGATGCCGAGGCGCTGGAGCGCCATGTTGAAAATCGTAGAGTTCGCACTTAACAATGAAGTGCATTCGTCAACCGGCTACACGCCGTTATACGTGAACGGGCTGATTCACCCTCGCGTTCCGCTGACGCTACTATCCCACGGCTCAGGGCTTGGTGGGAAAGATTAGCCGAACGGCTAGCTGATGCCAGCCCCCTTACCATCCGTAAAGAAGTCAATGACTTCGTGGCTACCAGACTGCGTGTCCTACGCTCGTTCGCGATGCGATGGCTGAAAGCCAATCCCTGCAAAACGAATATGCTGATGAAAAATGAAGGCAAAGTGGAAAGCTTTAAGGTCGGGGATCTAGTTTTGTTAAATTCTAAGAACCTGCCTACACATGCAGCATCTGCTATCTTTCGGACGAAGCTTCGTCCACAGTTTATTGGACCGTTTAAGGTTGTGGCCAAGCGGGTCCTAGCGTATACGCTAAACCTTCCGAAACGGATGCGCACCCACCCGGTCTTTTACGTGGGCTTGCTCAGGCTGTACCAAGATCCGGCGCAAGCAAACACGGAAGCAATGGCGCCGGAACGGATCACACGGGTCTTCGGCCACCCAGAAGTTGGCCAACAACTGGTTCTGAGCACGGAGTGCAACAACCTCCATTTCCAATGAAGCCGAGCGCTCCACCGTTGCTTGCAGCGATGCATTTGCCTGCTCCACGGCTAAGGGTCGCCCTGGCAGATCGCGGTAGTCCTCAAGGCGAGACAGCCGGCGCACGACGTGCTTTCAATCATCAAGAGCGTCCACACAGCGATATGCTACTTCAGCATGACGCTCAGCGGAGCTCCGGTCGCGGAGGCCTCGTCCTCAAGGGCTCAAAGAGCATCACAAGTCACCGGACGGCGGTCGGCCCGGTCGTCACCGCCCGCCATCGACTTTTCTCGATATGAATGGTGACGTCCACGATCACGTGGAACGTCTTGCTGGACAACGTCGTTACCGGGGTCAAACCCAACATATGGTGAAGTGTCGGGGATATCCCGACCCCGAAAACTCGTGGGAGTTTGAGGCGCCACTTCGGCAAGATCGCCCATTCGCCGTGGACGCTTTTGATCGGAAAGATCAGGACGTCCCGCTTCATCAGACGCCTCGCGCTTCCCGGCAATAGCCAGTGAAGTAGAAGGGTCATATGCTGAGTTCAAGCAGTGGCCCTGAGCTCTTGTGTTCGAAAACACAGAGCTCGCGGGAGCGTTAAGGGTTGGGTCCATACGACGAGAGGCGACAATTCGAAGGAAGTCGACGGCGTGCCTTGAATTTGGCAAACTCAAATCGGAGGTGTCGCTCCACATGCACGTCCACTTCCTTGTGGCTCGACTGTAGGTCATACAGTTTGGAAAGTTTTCGGTGCCATTACACCCATCGTTCAAAGAGCGCTTCGTCATCTGTAGCGCTTTCGTCAGGGTGAACAGGTATTGTCCGCATTGCGGGTACACGAGAGCCACTCGTTGAGCACTCGGACGAGTGCGAACGGAAATTCTTGTGGAACCAAGAATCGAGCTCGAAGAGCCTTCCGTTTGTCAAGCTCATCCTCCGCTCTGACCGGGGGCCCGATGATGCGGACGCGTAACGATCGAGCTACAGCGTCTTTCTCTTCCACAGAGGGATCCGCAGGGCGGAAGCCATATTCCACACGAGGGTCAATGACCGGCCGTGGATGG